AGTGCTGGGATTAAAGGCGTGCGCCACCAATGCCCGGCAACTTAAATGTTTTTATGAATATATCCATTCATTACACTTATTTGTCTATACCAATTTGTCATAAAACATACAGAAATAGACCCATGGGCACAGATACTTATATAGGTCCACACAGCTATATATTGTCATAAATCCCAAAGTTATTATCAGGAGAAGTCTGTATCACATTTACTATGGATACCTATACAATAGTACCCTGAGAAAAGCTCAAATATTGTAGTAGCAGTAACAAAGCATTTATATGAGCTATAAACTTCTTCAACCTAGAATTTCCTCCTACCCAAAAATTCAGTCAAATTTAGCAATCTCCACATAATTTTCTTTGTGCATCCACACCAATACATATTTTAAAATTTGTATTCATGATACAGCAAAAATACGTAACATATATGTACACATTTCGATTATCTGTTTTGACACAGGGTCTTGTGTCACCTACTGGCTTTCAACTGAAGGCTGGCTGGCCTTGAACTCCCATGTTCCTGTTCCCATCAGTGCTGTGCTACAGGCCTGCCCCACAATGCTCAGTTAATATATGTACGCAGTTTAAATATTACTGCTCATATCCTTTTGGAAATAGAAATTATTTCCTCATTTTTATACACCTTTTCTTAGTAAATGAGTTGCATAGTTCCTTGCGGTTTTTTTTTTACAAGTATAAAAACAGTGTTTATCTTTTTTACTTTCTTATAAATGTTTTGCTTTTTATCTCTAATTGAAAGGTTTTAATATGTTCCCTTGCATTCCTGCTGGGCTTAGCAAACTGGTCTATATCAATTCATTTACTTCTTTTTTTTTACATATTTATTGCAATTCATATGACTGCTATGATTTCCTATTCCTTTCTGTTATATAATCCAAAAGGCAAACCCCTGTTAAATGCCTATACAACTGATTCTTTCACTCATTCATTCAAGCTATTAATCAAGACTCTAACACACACAGGTCTAGGTGCTGAGAATAGAACAGTGATCAAGAAAAACAATTCCTGTCTTCATGATCTTTCCATGTACCCAAGGCTTCAAAGACTAGGTCAAGACTATATCTTATTCAAGAGACTGACATTCTGATGTGATAAATGCTCACCAAGTTTCAAAGTGCCAGAAAAACACTTACTTGGTGGTTTACAAATAAAACTTAACTCATACAGATCTGGAGTCTGGCAAACCAAATATAAAGGAAGTCTTAGGGTCTAAAGAGTTCTTTTCTGGCTCATGGATAGCATCTTCCTACTGTGACCTCACTTGGTAGAAGGAATGAGGAATGTACCTAGGTCACTTTCATAAAGGCACATGCCCCCTTCTCATGGGCTTTGCCCCTTGCCCTATCATCTCCGGTTTCAATTATTTTTGGTGAGGATTTCAACATCTCAAAGGGGACATAAAATTTAATATTTAGTTTCAGAGAGATAAAAACAATAGAACTTTTGCCTGCTGCATATCACATAAATGAAAACAAAACAACCCAATGATCCACAGCCAATGTTCCTTCATTCAGGTTTCTTGGAGTATTTCAAATTTTGTATTTAACAATAAATGTTTGTTTTATTTACCATCTCATAAATAATTCCTTAAGTTGTTTTTTCCTTCCCATACAAAGTCTCTTATAGCCCAGGCTGGCTTGGAACTTCCAAGTACTGGGATTCCAGTCATATACCACCACACACTCCATTAGTTTCCTGAGTCTTGCAAAGAATAGAGGGTATCACATCTCATTAATACTTAAGCCAGACTCACTCTTCCTGTTTTTGTTTTGCCTTTTGTTTTTATTTATCTCCACTAGCTCTGTGATCCTTGCAGGTTACCTAAAGATACCTGCCTTGGTTTTCTTTTATGTGCATCAAGTGTAATAACAGCTCGAAATTTTTAGAACATTTATGAAGATTCAATGAGACAAAATACAACATTTCAAGTACACAGAACACTGGCTAGCTCATCCATTATGTCATCTGTTCCCTAGCACCAGTACCATCATTGTGTGTACATCAGTGTTACTCAGTTATTTTACCAGATGATAATGACTCCAAGGTATTCAAGGAATTTTCTTATCTTAGTTCTGAAGGTGTCTCTGTGCTGACACAAATACCAGTTATCACTTTTACATATCCACTCTTGAGGACTAGACATCTGTTTACATAACATTCTTTAGTAGTTAAAGAGCTAGTGTTGGCCAGTTAGAGATAAAGTATTCTAAGCTTTGTAAAGAATGCATGAAAATAATGAATATCTCCTATCACAATTAAAATTTTAAAAAGAACTATGTCCAGGTAGGTAGGTAATTATTTTCTACACTGAACTCTGACCGAGAACATTTTAGATGCTGAGTTAATATCCATCCCATCTTTTGGAAAAAAAAAATTAAGTCCCTTAATTCATTACATTAAACTTACTGTTGGAGTTTTCCAACAAATACTAGCTATATTCTTTACTCAACCTTGGTGAATCTCAACGTGTTGGCTAGATAATCATTTCCTGGGGCTTCTGTGACAAAGTGCCACAGAACACATGGCTTGATAGGAGAATTCAATGTCTTTCAGTTACAGAGGGTGGAAGTCCAAAGTTGGCGGAGCTGGCTGCCACTATAAACTCCAAGGAAGTGTCTTCTTGATTCTCTCCCAGCTTCTGGTGTTGCCAGCAGTCTCTGGGGGCCCTTGGTTTGCAGACATATTACTAATTTCCACGAAAGCCAAGACAGCCAGAGAACTAGCCAGAGAACTCAACGTCTGGAAAAAGCCTAGAGTTCACCATGAGAATGGAATCTCCCTGATGCCATGATTTCGGGTTTCTCCCCCAGAATTTAAATAGAATGTGTTTCTGCTGCTGTAAGCTACTCAGTTTATTCCATTTGTCACAGTGTGGTATGAATGCCCTGCACTTTGCTGTTCTTTGAATTTTTATTCTGATCCTTGTTCACTTTGTTCAGGGGTCATTTGCCTTCCCACACTGAGGTACAGGAATTCTACATGCATCTCAGATGTGAACCCTGTGTTGCTTACAGGCATTTGAGCATCTTTCTCGTCTTGGGCTGACTCTATCTACATGAGTTGTTGGGGCCACAGATCCCTGCATCCTCGAGGAGTCTCCTTCCCCAGATGGGACCTGTGGAGCTATAACAAATCTATCCTCATGGGATTTCTGAGCCTTACAGTTTAAAAGCAACAAATTACAGCAAAAACGTTCTTTAAAACCCAGCTACAGTCTGATTCTTTTGAATAAGGTCTAGAGTGTATAGTTCTGCCTAAAAAACAATGCCCGACTTGGTTGAGCTGGGAAGACAGGGATCCTTGGTGCCAAAATACTTGTTTAGCCCTGGGTTAGATCCTAATGTGAACAAAATCAAGCTGAATCGAAGCAAAGCAAAATAAAATGAAAATAAAACAAACTGTTTAACTTATTATCTTTCCCAGTTAAGCTTCTCCCTGGCATCTGACTCAAATCCTCCCCAAAAGTCCAAAGCCAAAGCCAAGCAAGCAAATAAAAACACAAGACAATGAAAATCCCCTACAAATTGTACAACTATAAAATGAACTGTGTACATTGATATAAAACCCCAAATTAAAATGACAATAATAATTAGAAAAAAAAACTTGTCTGTTTTTACTTAGGTATGATTAAAATTTCAAATCACCCCCTAAGGCCCTAGTAAAAATAGTAATTACATGTTTTGTTCTCCAAGATTTCATTCTCAAGGGCCACGGTCCTTTTTTACATGGTTTACTATGAACTCCAGAATATTTTTTCTGTTAAGTTTCTAGTAAACTCATTGAAGGGAGGGACTAAACTTTGTATTTTGAAATTGCTGAAAGAGTGCATGTCATATGTTCTCACCATAAACAGTAAGTATATGAGGTGAAGGATATACAAATTAAAATGACCTAATCTTTCTACAGAATATGAAAGCAACAAACAACAATAAAAAGCAGAGGACTTAAGTTCAGTTCCCAGCGCCGATACCAGATTTCTTACCAGTGCCAAAACTCCAGCTCCAGGAGATAGTCTCTTCTGGCTGTTTCAGGTACAGGCACACATATCACACATCATATCTATCTCTCTCTCTCTCTCTCTCTCTCTCTCTCTCTCTCTCTCTCTCTCTCTCTCTCTCTCTCTCGTCACACATCACCTCTCTCTCTCTCTCTCACACACACACACACAAATAAAAACAAATCTCTTTGTTTAAAGATGTATGTGTGTGTGTGTGAAAGAGATATCTTGATGTGAAACAAATACATTTTATAGCTTATATACTCAGTACAAGCTATTCACAAATGTTGCTATAGAGACATTATTGATCTTATTAAGGTACCTACTATGCTATTGTGTTTGTCTCCGACAACCTAACACTAAGACTGTTAAAAAGAGTAGACTTATGGCCTTCACCCATAATGCTCTGGTTGACATGCATCAGACAAACACAAACATGGGGGTCTACCCTCCACAGCCAATCACTGCCCCAATCCCTACGAGAACAGCAGATATCTTAGCGAGGGGTTTTATTGCTATGATGAAACTTGGGGAGGAAAGTGCTTATTTGGCTTACAAATACTGAGTGACCACTGAGGAAAGCCAAAGTAGAAACTCAATCTGAGCAGGAACCTGGAAGGAGGGGTTGATGCAGAAGCCATGGAAGAGTGCCGCTTACCTGCTTGCTTCTTATGGCCTGCTCAGCCTGCTTTCTTATTAAACCCAGGACTACCAGCCCAGGAGTGGCATGACCTACAATCATCTGGGCCCCCCCTATCAATCACTAATTAAGAAAATACCCTACAACCTCATGAAACACTAAAGTTCTGTAAGGCAAAGGACACCAT